ACTGCAGCTTGTAGGACCCAAGTCCAGAGTGCAGTGAATGGGGCCTTAACTTTTCCACTGTCTGGGCTGTTGGGTGGCCCTGGAAGGTTGATTCTTAGAGAGAGGCCTACTGCAGCCAGAGCTCTCAATAGGGAGACACAAAACCTTTATATACAACATGGGTAGGTGCACCCCTCCCAAAAAACCACCTGAATTTTAGGATATGTCCCTAAATTGTGGGCCCTTTCAGGACTGACTCTGAAGACATTGAAATTTTTAAAAACTGACTAAATAGGACAAAAATTATCACTTTGGCCACTGGTGGAGAATGGATTGGCCACAAATATCTAAATGAAAAAAGAGCAGAGCTAAATTCCAAGATAAGCAAATGCATTGGACCTTGATAATTTTAAGGGGCTTTCAATCTCCAACTTCACATATGCCACGATATAATTTCTTCCAAATAACACAGAAAAGTAAAACAGAAAAATTAATCTCCTCAAGTCTTTTAATGAAAAGTAACTTTAGTTACAATGAGTTAAGCTTAAATTTAGATTTGGGTCCTGGGTGACTGGTAAAGCTTATCTGCTATATTTTCATTTCCTGAAATTCTCTTGTTACTTTTCATATCCACCTGTTCTTGTTTCATTTTTAGCTACTTTTGTTTCACAAATTATTCTTCCTTTTATTGATGTTATTCCTTCATCTTTGAGAATCCTAAATCAATTTATTTTCATTTTTTTCATGTTTCTCTGATAGTTCCGTTTTGTCTGAAGTGATTCATCTTCTGAGTGTTAACTTTGTTGGCTTCTTTATTAGCATTGATTTTCTTCATAGGTTTTGAATTTTGTTTTTCAGAGGTTCTGCCTCCCTCCCCGAGCCTTACCTACCACTCTACTCTTCTTGATCTGGTGATTTTTAAAGTGTCTCCCCCTTGACCGCTGGAGAGCTTGGTCCAGAACCAGGCTTTATGATGGGGGCTTAGGGCTTCTGTCTTTCAGTGACATTGGGAATATCTCCAACCCAGTCACTGAGCCTGAGGGCAAGTGAGTTCATGTTTTGGCCACAAGGCTTCATATCAGCTATGAGCATGGGCAGAATGTGATGGTAGCATTATTTTTAAAAAAAAATTTTTAAATAACTTAGACTTACAGAGAAGTTGCAAAAATAGTACAGAGAGTTCCCATATACTCTTCACCTAACTTCCCCTAATGTTAACATCTTACCTCACCAAAGTAGAATCTTTAGGACCAGGAAATTAACATTGTTATAATACTATAAACGAAACCTCAGGCTTTATTCATATTTCACAAGTTTTTCCACTGATGTCTTTTTTTCCATTTTATGATCCTGTCCAAGATCCCACATTGCATTTAGTGATTTTCTGTTTCCATAATTTTATCTACTTTTATTAAGGAAGATCTCTCTCTTCCCCATTTATTTATCCCTTCAGTTATTTACTTGTATCAGTATGGACTCGTGGGTATTTATTTTAGTTGATGGATTGTAATCCAGTACTTCCAGCCAGCCCTGATTTCACATAGTCACCTGGTTTCCATCTCCCCGTCTTGTACAGGGTACTTCTGTTTCCTGTTTTCCGTAGGAACTTCTGGAACTCCTGGCTACCTCTTCTTTCCTGACATTAGGCCCAGAAGCCCACTATTTTTAATTTTGGGATAAAAGTCTAAATGCTTAACACAACCTACAAGGTACTACATTTGATCCCTGCCTTATTTTCTAGCTTCATTTTTCTCTTGTCAACTCTCTTGTTCTCAGTGATCCAGCCACACGGAACCTTTTCCTGTCTTTGAAAGCTGTAAACTTCTCCTCGCCTCATAGTCTTTGCCACTTTTCCCTCTGCCTAGAACACTGTCACCCCATTCTTCTTTTTTGAACTAAACCATAGTGTCTTTTTGGTTTGTTACTATGCTATTTAACAGCTGAACAATCTCTAGCCTAAAAGTCTTTAAATCTAAAACGGCAAGTTTCCAACAGGTACGCCCAGCTTTGCCAGGTTTGTAAATCAGAATGCGTTTCCTTCAAGTGAAAGATATCAGCACTAAGAGCTGGAGGTTTTTTCAGGTGTAGACTGAGTCATCTTCTCTAAGGGATGTAACCAAAGCATGAGGGAATCAGAAAAGGCAGCAACTGTCCAGATGAAAGGTGAATGTCTTATTGAGTGTCAAGTCATTTGACTTTAAGAACTGGTAGAAGAATCAAGAAAATAACAAACAATAAACAGTCGGGGGAAATAATGAACATTCAAGGGCAGCAGAATTGCCAAATGAGCTCCTGCCTCTTGCAGTGTTACATGCTGACCAATTCCTCTTCTTTTCCCAGCACCCCCTGTGAAAAGAGACTTGGTCTGTCATGTGGGGTTCTGAATTTCCTTTGAGTATCTAACGGAGTGAGTTAAGTAGATCCAGTCATGATGGTTGGATCTCAGTTTTCAGTCACTGGTCACAGTTGGAAGTGGCCCACATTTTAGTCACCTCTGCTTCCCCTTGCTTTGGTACCATTAGCTCCATAATCTGGTAACCAACAAAGGGGCAGTCCCTTGACATGAGGTTGCGCTGTGTTAGCCCAGCCATTGCCTTCGTCTCATTGGTTGTAGGGCCAGAGCAGAATGGTGACATCCTTGCTCTGCAGATCTTGGTACCCGGGTCACTCCTGCAGGGGCTGCCTCCAAATCCACCCCCTGGGGTCCTGGGTCTCTAATTTCAGTTTTAGTGTAAGGTTCCCACCCTGCTCCAACTCTGTGGTTCTGAGACTTAGTGGAAAGAGCCTGGGATGGGGTTAATGGGCCGTGCTGCCTATCAGGACCCTGGGCAGTCACCTTCTCCATTTCCTGGTGTCTGCGAGGGTTCAGACCATAGCGAGCAGCCCTACATATGGCACTGATGCAGACCCTCCTCCTTCTGCCAGTCTCTCTACTGAGTCCCTCTCAACCAAACATCTACCAGTCAATCCCAATAGGCATTATCTGCCAGCTCTGACTCCAGGGCCTCTCCCAGCTCTAAGGGTCTGAGATTCTCAGGATTTGCCTTGAGGCTTTCTTCAGTCTAGAGCTATTGAGTTTGGGAGCCTCACCCCATACCTTCTCTTACATCCTACAGAAATCAGGATGAAATGGCCCACACCTGCCGTGGCACCATCAACCTGTGCACCGCGCACTTTGACAAGGAGGACTCTTGCGGTATCATGCTGACCAATGGGGCAAGGACCTACCACCTCAAGGCCAGCTCAGAGGTGGAGCGGCAGCACTGGATCACCACTCTGGAGCTGGCCAAGGCCAAGGCTGTTCACCTGATGAGCAGCCACTCAGGTAGTGAGCGCTCGGCACAATGGGTGTCATGGGTCTGGAGAGAGTGGGAATTGAAAGCGCTTAGTGGGCAGTGGTGACCAGGAGACCCAAGCTAGTCTAGACCAACCCTGGAAGGTCAAGGTGTGTGTTCGCGCTTCCCACTCAGCTCTGTGTGTCCTCTGCAGTGAGATGCTTAGGTGTTCGGGGTGGCTGGCAGTTCTTGGGATGGAAATGTTTGTGGTGGGCAGTACTATGTGTGCCTTTCTTTGGACAAGTCTGGTTCCTAGACTTCAGCAGACCCTTCAGATGCTGTCGTGGGTCAGCTCCCGGAGCAGCAGTCAGACGTGGGAGTCCAGGAGCGTGCACCTGTGCTTGGGGCCAGACTTTTTCCCAGGCCCTTTATGGAGATTGAAAACCATTTAGCCAGAGCTGCTGCTTTTGCCGAGGTGGAAGGCCCCCTCAGATGTCCTGAGCAAGATGTTTTATTTTTTACTTTAATACATTTATTTTTTAATATATTATATCTTTATATGATTTATACAATTTCAAAAGCATATATGGTGAAGTCTGCCCTTGACTCTTGTCCTCAGCCACACACCCTGTTCTCCCACCCAGAGGCAACCAGAGCTACCAGTGTCTTGTGTCATTACATGTATATTCAGATAGGTACTTATTTTAAAATAAGCACTATCCTCTGCCTTGCTTTTTTTCAATTTAGAGATTTATCTTGGAATTTTTTCCCTACCAGTACATAAAAAAACTTCCTCCTTGTTTTTATAACAGTACAGTACTTCATTGTGTGGTTGTACTGTAGTTTATTTAACCTATAGCCTGTTGGTGAAGATTTAGGTTGTTTCTTTATTTTGCTATGATGCACTGTGTTCAGTGAGTAACCTTGCATTTCATTTCACGTGTGTATAAGTATAAACAAAGTGTACGTTCCAGGAAGAGGGGTTGTGGCTCAATGGGAGTGTGCATTTGTAATTCTGAGAGCTTGTCAAGCTGCCTTCCATAGGGGTTTACCATTAGATGCCTACAGCAGTGTGTGAGAATGCCTGCCTCTCCACAGCCTTGCCCACCCAGAGCAATAGCAAATGTTTCTGATGGGTAAAAACTGGGTCCACACACACAGCAGCGGGGGGTCGAGGGGAGATTGGGAAACTGATCCTTCATAAATTGTAGGGAAAATGGTGTATGTTTCCACAGGTCTGTGTATTTTTTTAGGAAGGCAGGGCTCCAGGTGAGAATAAGTCACAGCCCCTGCTCTCCAGGATTATCTCATAGGCTGGTTGGGGAGACGGTGAGACCTTTGGAAGTAGCTCTAGCACAAAGTAGAATGAGAGATGCTAGTGACATTTGTCACCATGCCCCATCTCCCCATGTTGGGGACTCTCCCTCAGTACTAGCTTGTTAACGCACATTGAAGGCCATTGAATATTAGTCTGACCTTCTTTTTAGAGGTCTCACCCCTTTGGAGCATAGGTCCTCCCCATAGTGACTCTTTTCCTTGGGGTCAGCACTCCTGGGGCTCTGGTGTGTCAGCAGTGATGCTGAGCTTGGCAAGGGGTCCTCAGGGTACCACTCCATTTCCCGTGAAGGAGGGTGTTGGGGCCATCTCAGACAAGGGCCGTGCTGAGACCTCCAGCAGGACCTCTGATCTCAATTTGGATGCCTGTAGAAAGCCAATGTGGTGAATGATGTGGCTGGTGGTGTGGCTGGGCTCAGAACAACCCTGTTGGCCAAGTGTGGGAACATTGCTGCTCATGGAAGAACTAGCTTCCTCTTTCTAGCTTCTCCTAAGTAAAATAAATAAAATAAATAAATAAAAATTTGCTGCATTTTCTAGGAACTTCCTGAAAATAATGTATCAGGTAACTTTTATTGGATTGGTCATTCTGGAACAATTTCCCTGGGGCAGCCAGTGGGAGGGGTTTCTTTTGCAGCTGGTGTAGAAATGCTTGTTAACTCAGCTGGGCAGTGCTAGAGATTGCTAGCCTGGACTTCTAGGAGAGGTTGGCTCCCCTGAGAGAGCAGCTTCAGGCTCGTCTTCCTTCATTTCGTCCCCTTAGGCATGGTCAGGGGCTAGAGATGCAGCACGTGTCTCATGTTCCCAAGGGGTTGGATAGCCTTCTGGGTAAGGACACAGGACAACATTCAGGTACAACTCAAAGTAGCACATGCTGCATATCACTGAGAAATGGTAGGATTCCTTTCTTTTTGGTGTTTTGAAGCACAAATGAACTAACGTATGTGAAGGAGAAGCCTTTAGGCAGGTACTGTGCTTTTATAGAAAGGTTGAGGCCACCTGATTATTTCTTGAGAAATAGCACTTGTGGTGGCCTTCTCTGCAAGGCAGCGCCCTCCTCCCACAGTTCTTAGGCTGATGGGAGTTATGGTTTGTAACTTTTTGCTTGGAGTCAGCCCCATGTAGCCCTAAATGAGGGAAGACTGTTCTCCTTGAGCTGGCTGATGGTGACCAGCTGGGTCAAGGGCACAGAGAGTATGCCAGGCAGAACCCTGCGGGTCCTCCTGGGGCCTGTCTGTCCCTTCCTAGACTGTGGACCATCTCTCATCCAGCAGGGAGCCTACTTCCTACCTCCACTTACCTCTTGAAATCACCTGCTACCCTCTAGCTTTTCTGCCACCCCCTAGTCCAGGTACCATCCCCTCTTACCTGGACATCTGCTATAGTCTCCTCACTATCTTCCTGCTTCCAGTCAGTTCTCCAAACAGCAGGCAGAAGGACGTGTTTAAAAATAGAATTCAGTTATATAACTGCACTGCTTACAACTCTTGGGTGCTATAAACCAACTAGACTTAACAGACATGTACAAAACACTCCACCCAACAACAGCAGAATACACATTCTTCTCATTCCTCTTTCTGACTTCTTCTAAGTAAAATAAATAATGCATGTGGAACATTCTCCAGGATAAACTATATGTTAGGCCACAAAACAAGTTTCAATAAATTTAAAAATGTTAAAATCATATAAAGCATCTTTTCTAACTACAGTGGAATGAAGCTAGAAATCAATAACAGAAGAAACACTGGGAAATTCAAAAACATGTAGAAATTAAATAACTGGTGAGTTAAAGATGAAATCACAACAGAAATTAGAAAATACTGTGAGATGAATGAAAATGAAAAGACATTATACCAAAATTTTGGGGATACAGCAAAAGCAGTACTCAGAGGGAAATTTATAGCTATAAAAAGATACATTAAAAAAGAAGGAAAATCTCAAAGCAATAATCAAACACCTTAAGGAACTGGATAAAGAAGACTAAACTAAACCCAAAGCTAGCAGAAGGAAGTAAAAAATAAATATCAGAGTTGAGATAAACAAAATAGAGAGTGGAAAAACAAAGAAAATCAATGAAACCAAAGTTAGTTCTTTGAAAAGATCAACAAAATTGGCAAACCTTTAGCCAGACTGACTAGGAAAAAAAGAAGACCCAAATCACTAAAATCAGACATGAAAATGGGGACATTACTATTCACCTTACAGAAATAATAAAGATTATAAGACAATACTATGAACAATTGTATGCCAACAAATTAGATAACATAGATGAAATGGACAAATTCCTAGAAACACACGAATTACCAAAACCAGCTAAAGAAGAAATAGAAAATCTTAGCAGACCTATGATAAGTAAAGAGATTGCATCAGTAATCAAAAACCTCCCTAAAGAGAAAAACCCAGGACCAGATAGCTTCACTGGTGAATTCTGCCAAACATTTAAAGAATTAACACCAATCCTTTTCAAACTCTCCCCAAAAAATAAAGATAAAGGAAAACTTCCTAACTTATTCTATGACTCCAGCCCTATAGCAAAGCCAGACAAAGATCACAGAAAACTATAGGCCATTATACCTTACAAACATAGATGCAAAAACCCTTAACAAAATACTAACAAACAAAATCCAACAGCATATTAAAAGGATTACACCATGACCAAATGGGGTTTGTACCAGGAATGCAAGGGCAGTTCAACATAAGAAAACCAATCAATATAATACACTACATTGACTGAAGGGAAAAAAACCCACATGATCATCTTAACTGATGCAGAAAAAGGATTTGACAAAATCTGACATTTTTCATGAGAAAAACACTCAGCAAACTCACAATAGAAGGTAACTTCCTTAACACATTAAAGAGCATTTATGAAAAACCCCAGCTAACATCATACTCCATAGTAAAAAACTGAAAGTTTTCCTTCTAAGATCAGGAACAAGACAAGGATGCCCAGTTTCCCTATGGCTGTTCAACATTGTAGTGGAAGTTCTCAACAAGCAATTAGGTAGGAAAAAGAAACAAAAGGAAAAATTGTAAAGGAAAAAGTGAAACTCTATTGGCAATTGACATGATCCTATACATAGAAAAATCTCAAAGAATCCCACAAAAAAACTATTAGAGCTAATAAACAAATTCAGCAAAGTTGCTGGACACAACATCAACAAATATCACTTACAATTCTTTATACTCGCAATGAACAACCCGCAAAGGAAATGAAGAAAACAATTCCATTTAAATATTATCACAGATAATAAAGTACTAAAGAATAAGTTTAACCAAGGAGATGAAACTGAAAAATACTACTCAAAGAAATTAAAGAAGACCTAAAGAAATGGAAAAATATCCCATGTTCATGGATTGGAAAACTTAATATTATTAAGATTTCAATACTGCCAAAAACAATCTATAGATTCAATGCAATCCCTATCAAAATTTCAGTGGCTGGGGCCGGCCCTATGGCTGAGTGGTTAAGTTCACACACTCTGCTTCAGCAGCCCAGGGTTTCTCCAGTTCGAATCCTGGGCGTCGACATGGCACCGCTCATCAAGCCGTACTGAGGCAGCATCCCACATGCCACAACTAGAAGGACCCACAGCTAAAAATACACAATTATGTACTGGGGGGCTTTGGGAGAAAAAGGAAAAATAAAACCTTTAAAAAAATTTTTCAGTGGCCTTTATTTTTCAGAAATAGAAAAGAAATCCTAAAATTCATATGGAATCAATTGCAGAGAACCCAGAATAGCCACAATGATCTGAAAAAGAAGACCAAGTTGGAGAACTCTTTTCAATTTCAAAGCTTACTACAAAGTTACAGGAATCAAAACAGTGTGGTACTGATATAAGGATAGACATACAGATCAATGGAATAGAATTGAGAGTCTGGAAATAAAAATATCCATGTATGGTCAGTTGATTTTCAGCAAGGATACCAAAGTCATTCAATAGGCAAGGGATGCTGAAATGACTGGGTATGCACATGCAAAAGAATGAAGTAGCACCCCTACCTCACACCATATAAGAAAAGCTAACTCAAAATGCATCAAAGACCTAAATATAAGTGCTAAAACCATAAAACTCACTGAAGAAAAAAAAGAGTAAATCTTCATGACCTTGGATTTGGCAATGGTTTTTTACATATGACACCAAAAGTACAAGCAACCAAAGAAAAAAATAGATAAATTGAATTTCATCAAAATTTAAAACTTTTGTGCATATAAGGACACCATCAAGAAAAAGAAAAAACAGCCCACAGAATGTAAGAGAATATTTTCAAATCATATTTTTGATGAGTCTAGTATCTAGAATATTAATGGGCAAGGTACTTGAATAGACACTTCTCCAAAGAAGATATCCAAATGGTCAATAAACACATGAAAAGATAATGAACATTATTAGTCATTAAGGTAATGCAAATCTAAACCATAAGATACTGCTTCACACCCATTAGATTAGCTATTATTAAAAAAAAATCCAAGGCTGGCCCCGTGGCTGAGTGGTTAAAGTTCTGTGTGCTCTGCTTCAGTGGCCCGAGTTTGCAGGTTTGGATCCCGGGTACAGACCTGCTCCACTCATCAACCATGCTGTGGAGGCATCCCACATACAAAGTAGAGAAAGATTGGCATGGGTGTTAGCTCAGGGTGAATCTTCCTTACACACACTCACACACACACACACACACACACAAATACAACAACAACAACAATGGAAAGTAACAAGTTGTGGAGGCTTGGAACCCTCATTCATTGCTGTTGGGAATGTAAAATGGTGCAGCCACTGTGGAAAATGTTTTAGTGGTTCCTCAGTAAGTTAAACATGTAATCACTCACATGATCCCAGCAATTCCAGTCCTGGCTATATACACCAAAGAATTGAAAACAGATGTTCAAACAAAAACTTGTACATGAGTGTTCATAGCAGCACTATCCACAATAGCCAAGAGGTGGATGCAGCCAAATGTCCATCAGCAGATGAATGAATAAACAAATGTGGTATATCCACACAGTGGAATATTATTCAGCAATGAAAAGGAATGGTGTACTGATATATGTGACAACATGGATGAACCTTGAAAACATGTAAGTAAAAGAAGGCAGACACAGAAGGCCACATACTGTATGATTCTATTTGTATGAAATGTCCAGAATGGGCAAATCCATAGGGACAGAAAGCAGAGTAGTGTTTGCTGGGAGCTGGAGAAGGAGGGATGGGAAGTGACTGCTTAGTGGGTGTGGGATTTCTTTTTAGGGTGATGAAAATGTTGTAGGTACAGGTGATGATTGCACAACATTGTGACTGTACTAAGTATCACTGAATTGTACACTTAAGAATGGTTAAAATGTTAAATTTTATGTGTATTTTACCACACACACACACAGAATAATCTCAGGTGGCTTGCCAGTGCTCTTAGGGTAAAATGCAAGCTCCTCACCCTCTGTGACAGTCCACAGCCTTCTCTCCTCCCCTTCCTCTTGCTCTCTGTCCTCAGTTCCTGTTCAGGGCCTTTGTACTTGCTGGCGTCTCTGCCTAGAACACTCCTGCTGATATGCTTGGCACCCCAGGCTCTCGTCCTTCAGGTCTCAGCTTAATGACACTTCAGAGGGCCTTAAGTTGTAGCCTCTCTAAAGATATATCCATCATACCATCCTAGTTATTTTCTTCACTGCAGTCTGCCATTATTAATTGACTGACTTGTTTACTTATTTATTGTCCATCTCTTCAATAAAACCCAAGTTCTTGACAGCAGAGAGATCCTGTGCATCTTATTTCCATGGTAACCTCAGGGCCCGTCACTGAGCTTGGCACTGGGTTTGGTGCCCAGTGAGGGTCTGTTGTTGGGTCAGCGTACGTAGCAGCCATGACACCCTTGGCAGCACTAGAATTGTCCTTGGAGAGGAGGATTGGGGCGTGGTGGCTTCTCTATACCTGTCACCCCTGGAACAGATGAAGGAACTCGTGACATTTAGTCTGGAGAAAGGAAGGCCAGGCAGAGCCTGCTCATATTGAAAGTTTGAAGGGTCAGAGCATGTGAATGAGGACACAGACCCGTTTTCTGTGGCACTGGGAGGCACAAGCAGAACCAGCAGTGGAAGTGGTGAGAGCAATTTCTGCTTAGTCTGAGAAACAAACGAGTAGACTGTGAGAGGAAGGAGGTGGTAAGGGACATAATGAAAGTTTCCAGCAGAGGACTGGGACTGGGAGTGGGGTCCCAAGGCTTCTTCAAGGCTCCAGTGCTGTCCTTCTGGATTAACTTTGTGTTTCTTTAGCTGTTCACTTTCTAAATTTGATCAGATGGTCTGTGGTACTGTGGATAGGGCACTGAGCCAAGTGTCAGGCCTGACCCTCGGCAAGTGTCATGTCTCTCGGGGCCTCAGTCTCTTCATCTATAGGATGAATGGTTGGCAGGCTTCTCCCTAAG